GGAACATAAATTTTGATGTTGATTATATGGCTGATTTTAATAAAATTCAAATAGTATAAAAACTACTAGTAATGCTGTTTAAGCTAGCCAAGTGTAAAAGTTTATTTTTTCTTTCTCAGTTAAGCAATTTGATCATGTGTCGATCAGTTAAGTGGAAATTATTTAATGACTGATTATTTAATTAGTCATGATCAGCTAGAACACATTTTGTTAATTGGATTTTATCATTAATTATTTAAGAGAGCTATTTGGTCAATTCTTAGAGTTGTATAACTGTTATGTACTGTATATGAGTTTTAGATAAGGTTAAATCAATGAGTTATAACTCCTTGGTTAAATGCAAATCACAAATTTTTGTGGTATCCAACAATAATTTTCTTATACTTACTGACTGTAATTCTATTAAGTTCCAGGTTCATAATTTTTCCAAGAAATACACTAGTACTAAGTACACTTTAAAAAAAGAAGAACACTTAAAATATATCTTCATTTGTCAATGACTCTAATTTGGTGAATGTAATATGGATTCTTTGTATTTTCATTGTGTAAAATGCAATTTTGAAAGGGTTGAATTTCAGAATTTTAAAAGAATTTAGCTGTTGAAATATTGGGCCAGGTTGTTCACAAAGGAAATTAATAGAAAGAAAACTACAAAAATAATCTCTTTTGTAGTACAGTCATTAGATGGTTAATTAGTATTAGGTCATGTTGGAGGTTTACTATATCTGCAAGTATTCTATAGGGTAATGTGTCATTTTAAGCAGGACTAAGAAATTAAAATGCAGATACTGAACGTTTCTTGGAACGCTAAACTCTTCCCGTTCATTTTAATCCTTTTAGGTATCCTATCTGGGATTTTTCTGCCAAATCAAATTTTCATTGGAAAAAAATAATTTTCTCCTACTCATGAGTCATTGCTCTACTGGAAACCATGTTTTATACCATTTTAAATTAAGTGAATTAATGCTTTATGTTTCTTGAAATATTTTGATTGCCATATCTTCTTGTCATTTTAGAAGAAAATATCAACATCAAGTACTTTTATTTGAGGATTTTTATCAACTGAATTGTGAAAAAAATAAGTTGCTTTGCAGGATGTGTAAAGATTTAAGTACGACTTTGGGACAATTTCAAATGAGGATAGTATTCATTTAAAAGGCAGTTGCAATCTCTAGCTTTGTGCACAGTACATATGTAAAATGACAAGTACGTACTATGCCACCAGCTGGTGGATCTAGAACTGGTGCATTTTGCATGTCTACGTGCCTGTCCTTATCAGAATTTGTTTTTTGTGGTCGCATAAACTCTGAAAATGTAAGATACTTAATATTCTACTTCTGTCTCTTATTTAATATCCTGCCATGGAGTTTTTTAGTATGGTTTTTTTAGTGATTCTAAGACAATCCCCCCCCCCCCCATAACACACTCCTAGATCCCAGGAAAGAAAATACACTGCAAATGAATTGTTTTTTTGATGTATTAACATATTTCTTTAATATTTTACTGAACATAAGAAAGAGGACTGGAAAAAAGAATTTAAAACAAAAAGAATTGCTTTTACTTATAAGATTCAGGAAACAAACCTGAGAGGTAACCTTAAATTATTAGATGCTATATGTGCAAATTTTGCATGTCATTTTTTAATCAAACAAATACTACCATTTTATCAGTTTTTAAAAGCAAACAATTGTTACTTAATCTACATTTCATTTGATGTCAATGAGCACTCTGAATTACAGGTTAGATAAATGGAAATAATGAAACCAGATAAAAAAAACAAGGCACTGATTTGCAAGTCAGGGGTAGTGGTGTAACAATTAAAACTGACAGTAAGTTCATCAGAGGGATACCTGGATGAGTGAGATTATCTGTTTACCCAGCTTCTACCTTTTAAAAACATTGCTTAATTAAAGGCAGACACCTTGATAAAGGGGGGGGGGGGGGGGAAACAAATGAAAGTGTCAGTTACTTCAGTAAGGGACACCTGGATGAGTGAGATTATTTGTTTACCTCACCTCTACCTGGAGATGCATTTTGATTAAAGACAGGTTTAATTTTTCTCAATATCACATTGTTCATTATCAGTAAGATATCCATTGCTAGTGGGTGGTGTGGGGGCAGCTGAGGGGAGTTGTCCAAGAGGTATTTTCATATGTTATGTGCTATGTGTATACTTTTTAAAAATATAACACCAATAAAATTATGCCAACAGTCTGTCTTATTTTTGGTGTTGAGAATGAAATTGCTGATAAATAAATTATAACAGACAACAAAATCGAATTGGCAGTACTGTACCAGAAATTAATTAGTTTATATTTTTGCCTATAGTTCTTTTTATTCATATAAATTCCGGTGTAATGTCCAGTGTCATTCAGTTGCTTGATTAAAACTGTTACTTTTTGTTTCTGTGAAAACTAGTATTGACATCCCATAATCACCTGTATGTATATGCATACTGCATATATATATATTTATAATCTGCAGAAGCGACTAAAGAATAATTTGCTAGTTTTGATGATTATGCAAAAATGTTATGGCATAAACGGGAGTCGTCTTATTCTAGCTGATATATGTGTGTGTGTGTGTGTGTGTGTGTGTGTGTGTGTGTGTGCAGTATTTGAGTTTCCAAGAAGGGCTAAATTTAAAGAAACATTTGAATGCATTTCTATTGAAGCTTGCCTTCCAGGAATTGAAATGTTAGGGAAAATGGAGCCCAGATAAATCTTTCATTTTGATAACTTGCTAATATCAAATGAAATAACCACGGATTTTTTTTTTCATATAATTAAAGGCAGTTATTCCATTCAAGTCCTCTTCCTCAGAAAATACAATCAGCTGTTTCTCAAGCTGATTAAGACTGAAACTGTTGTATTACATGTTCAAACCAATATTGACCCTTTGCAGGCAGTGTAAACATAATGTGGGTACCATGTACTGGTTTTAGAGACTGCTTGTTGTAAATAAAATTATTTGTGTATGCAGAGGTCTCAACACCTGACATATGATCTGCCACAGTTCAGAGGCCAAATAAAAAAAATTCCCACACAAGTATAGGTGGTGTTTCCTGTTAAATCACAATTTTCTGAATCAGCCTGCTTGAGTTATATTTTGCCCACATGTATTCTCACACACCTACTAGTCGTGAGGCCATAAGGTGTCAGCATTTGAGTTGATGTAACAGTAATCATAGTACTACCGTACATATAAAACAAACTTTTTCTTTAAAGTAGTTTTGGGTGATCAAGACAAAGTGTAAGTATAATCTTTGAAAGATAGCTACAAAAACCAATTTGCAATTTAGATATGTGTATCAAAGATTTGACTCAAACAAACTAAAAATTGATACCATCATCTGTTAGGGTACATTCAAAATGAATATATCGTTTTAACTAGTGTGCACTAATTCCACGTGTACTCTTGCTAAATGCAATCAGATGAACAGATTAATAAGCTTCCTGGTTTTGAGTAGAAAAGCTGGTGAATTTACGGGTGTGTTGGAAACTATTAAGATGAGACTTTATAATTTGTTATTTTGATTGCATTTAGTGAGGGTCCCTGGGGAGTTACTGCACACAAGGGACCATTCCCACAGATATTTGGATCAATCTATCTCCCTAGGGAGTCTCACTAAATTGCTGTCAATCTAACTGGCTTAAGAGTCTGCCACCTTTAGTAAAACTGTTATTAGGGGGTAATTGTCTTTACCCCTAGCTGATTTGGTAGGCGTGACAGACATTTAAGCCTCTTGAGCTGATAGCAATTTAGCGTGAACCCCCAGGGAGTTAGGTCGATCCAGATGGATCAATCTAAGTATGGGAATTAACTCAGTCTAGCTAGTACAATAGATTTATTGTGAACACACCCTTAGACGGAAGACATTCCAGTTGTCTCCAACCGGTGGAGTGGGTTCCAACACCTCTGAAGAATAAAATGGGAATAAACTGAGTTGTTTTTAATGGTTTTCTTGTTTGTGTCCCAAGGTAATGCAGTAGCAAAATGTTGTGAATGCATCGGCCTTCTTGAATCTTGTTTCTTTTAGGAGCCATGGTTTACTTCTGTAAAGAAAAACAGAAGCTTTGAACGGTTTGAGCTAAATGGTCATAGGTGTTTGAGATATCCACAGCTTCTCTAATTGTCAAGGTCCAGACCTACCCAACTACCAGACTCGGCACAGAATGATCCTGAATTTACGAGTAGTTTGGACCACAATACCCGTTTTCAAGGTGTGTCAGTATGTGCATCGAAGTATCAGGCGCAACACCGCTCCTGCATAGTACGCAATGTGATAGAGATGATTCTCAGCAAGGTTGGAAAGTAGTGCATCTCATCTCAAAATTTGTTCCGGGGTATGATACTGTTAAATGCATATAGACGCACACCTTGAAAACAGGTAGTGTGGTCCGATCTACCAGTGAATTTGGGATCATTCGGTACCGAGTCTGGTAGTTGGGTAGGCCTGAGGTCCAATGTTAGTACCTCGTGGCTTTCCACCCAGATTGTCTTAAATCATTTAATGACTTAACACTTGATTATGTCATAAATCTCTATTCAATCAGTACACCTGATATTTCCAGAACTGTGTCTACTCAAAGGAGGTCTAGCTATTTAATCAAGCCCATATGTGCAGAACTTGTATTTAAGATAGACAGAATATTGAATATTGGAGACCTTGAAGAGTGGACTTAAAAGAGAGAGAGAGAGATAAAGGTCTGAGAGAACTTCAGTCTCCTGTTGTCATATACCCTCTCCCATGTCCCAGAACCTTGGTAGGGAGTAACACCGATCCCTAGATATTGTTTGGAAATATTCTGTGCTTTAGCCTTCTTATTTCAAAGTCTCGGTCAGCTGTGACAATGGACCAAGGTTGCACAATTGTGAAGAACAAAAATTGCTTGAATATGACACCTTTAAAGTGTGGTAATACGGTAATCTGTAATGAAATTGTAACATCTGCCTGGCATTCATGATTTTAATGTCTTTTTTCTTTGCTCATGCACCAGGTGTATCATAAATCCAATGTTAGCGAGTGCAGAACAGGGGAGTCTTCTGGGGAGAGAGCCCAAATGATGGAGAAAGGAGAGCCTCAACCAAGAACCCCTCAAGGAGAACTTGCAGAGGAACCATTGGAAGGATATGACTTTGACTTCTGCCCACCACTAGATTCCAAGTATGAATGCCCCATCTGCCTCATGTGTCTGAGGGACCCCTATCAAACCTACTGTGGACATCGCTTCTGTAAATATTGTATATTTAAATGGCTCAGGTTAGTTATCCTGTTACTGTTATTAATAAGTCAAATTAACTGTAACAAGATTATTTTTACTCAAGCTGAACTGTACAGCCACTATAGAACTGGAGAAATGCTTAAAAGTTCACTTATTATCACCATAAATTTTTAATACAGTATAACACCCTGTTACAGTAAACCATACTTCTAATGACAACACTAATCTGTGTCTATTTTCTCATTGAAAGTCTTCAAGTTAAAATGTATATGGTACATATTTTATGGACAGGCACTGTGTGTCTGGACATCTAGCCATCATCGCCAGCTGTCCTTGCTATGGACTTAATTCCTACTTGTTGACACAATAAGGCAATAAAATGTTTACGACTTGGGTGGAGCTAAGACTTAGGCCCGTTGTCTATTGGTTTATTGGGAAGCCCTGGGTTAAAGGCATGGACTAAATAGTTAAACACTAATAAATACAGGCTAGGCCACTCTTTAGATTGCTGCAACCCTGAAACTATTCTAGCTCATTTGAATAAATCGTTCTCTGAGTGAAAACTGCTCTTAATGGCACTGCTTCTACTATCAGTTTTATCATTTATATGTCTGTCCACTTGACAGCTTTGCTATTTTGTTTGTACTTGCATATGAACTGATATTCATCACTTTATTTTCAAGAATCCCATTTAAGGCTGTGTTCACATGAAAAATCTATTTTCTAAAAATCTAAAAATCTATTTGCAGTATCTTGTGATCACGGTCTGTGCCCTGAATACCCCGCGGCGTAATTACGGGCAGCACGAGCCAGTTACTTCCAAAGCTGTAATTAATTCTTGGCATTGCCAGTAATTACGCTGTGGGGTATTCAGGGCACAGACCGTGATCACAAGATACCGCAAAAAAGATATTTAGATTTTTTTTAGAAAATGGATTTTTTATGTGAACGCAGCCTAAGCATATGCCACTTTTATCACATACAGAATACTTTCACAAATTAAACTAGAGGAACTATCATATAAAGGCTGAGTTATGTGCATTTTCTTTTTAAGGGAAGAAAAACACAGATGCCCAGTGGATAATGTTTTGTTAGATGAGCAAAATATCTATCCAGATAATTTTGCCAAAAGGGAAATCCTTGGCTTAAAACTAAAGTGTCCAAATTATAGTCATGGATGTAGGTTCATTATTGAACTGTGTAATCTGGAGGTGTGTATACATGTACCAAAATAATGATTTGTCTTGTATATTAAGTAGAATTGAGAACCTATGCATGTACCTCTCTCTCAAAATTTGCATATTGTATGTATTTATTAAGATTTTGAACATTTTAAAATAATTCTAAGTTGGGTTATACTTTGCTGAAAGATGCCTTATTTTTAATTTTATTTTTAATTATTGCATTATTCACATGGAAAGATGCATTTTTTCCCCAATAGCAATGCTTTTACAAGATGTATGAAAGTCATTAAGCATTAAGAAAACAGTGCACTTCATGTGCCTTTTCAACAATTTATATTTCATGCTTTCAGAGTCACTTACAGTCCTGTTTTTATGCCCTTATACCATGTCCACAATGCTGTCCAGCAGTTCTGCCTAGAAAGGACCTCAAAGATCACATTGAACAAAGCTGCCCACGGCGCTACGTCCAGTGTGATTACTGCTTTCAAAGTATATTTCTAAGTTCAAAGCAGGTAAGAACACTTTGTGCCAAAATCAAATGCCTGTTCTAATATAAAAGATGAAAATATAATTTTATAAACACCATATGGTAATTTTTTTTACTAAAGAATTTAAAAGATATATTTCAATTTAAAAATATTTATTACCATTAGGTTTTTTTCATTTAAATAGACCATTAACTTCTTTGAAAAGGGAGATTTTAATCATATTCCTTTTTATTCAATTTATTTACTTATTAGTCCCATCCCACTTCCCCAGATCATTTTAGATAATAACTTCACCCTAGTTGATGCTACAGGGATTGCCAGCTATAAGGTGTGCCATAGTGTCCTCAGAACTGATTTTTGAAATTGTTTGTTAGATACCACTGTTTGTAACATTATGTATCCATGAATGACTTTGAATCATCAGTACTGAGCGAATATGGACTTATTTCTGATACTGTTGGGCACTGTCACATACTTAGTTGTATTTTTGCCTGATGCGCTGGCTTTTGGTATGTAATCATATTTCTTTTGTTTTATGATTATTTATGGCTTTTTCATATTGTGCATTATGTCTTATATATACAGTTGTACCAGAATGTTTTTAGAGGTTGATGGTTAAATAGCCTGGCTGTAAGAAAGTCGTGTAAGTAAAGCCCCTGCCTTTGACACAGCCAATTTATTGTTTTAACTTAATATATCAGAAAGCAAATTTGTGAAGAAGTTTTGAAGGATTGGTAAGTCCAGCACAGTGCATTCACATGGTAAAGCTGATACAACTGTATCACTAAGGGACTATTCACAGTGAATTTTTTAGACATAGCTAGTGTGCATGACTCCACAAGCTCTTGCTGAATGCTATCAGATTAATAAACTCCTCTTGTCTCAACAAACTTGCTTTTCCATATTCTTCTCAGTGCCAGGAGGAAGACTGTTAGTCTGATAATCTGATAGCATTCAGCGAGGATCCCCATGGAGTTACATTAGTGCATATGCATTAGTTAGGTCCACAAAATTCATTGTGAACAGTCCCTAAGATACAGCACTTGATGTGAAAAAGCCTTATTAAGAGTACAACTAAAATAGTCTTCAGAGCAGTTTTTGTAAGGATTTTCACCAGGGTTTCTGTGTATGATAGCATTAAATTGTAAGGGGTCAATTTTTATACGTTTAATTAAACAGGAATATGATGCTAAGTTTGTAGCTATTGCTCCATATTAGTTTTTGTGAATACTGACTTGAAATAATTTAAAATGATTTAATGTGCAAATGAACATTTAAAAAATCACCACGAAAAGCTCTTATTAGTATGTATTCTATATTCCCAGCTATGATTAAATATGGTACAAGTGTGTTGAATAGGTTGAAATTTATTTTTAGTCCCTTGTAACTTACTCCATCATTGGGGTAAGTGTCCTAGTATTAGTGTAGTGTTAGGTGTGAAGTAGGCCATAATGATAATAAACTTTTAAATTCCACAGCTTTTATATTTAAAATATTTATATCAGTGTCTTAATAGACACACATTAATTGTACCCTTGAGGGAACTCATTGTTAAGGTTAACACAAGATCCTAGATGATTCAGTCTTTAAATAACCATTGGCTATTATAGCTTTGAACTTCCTGGTACTACCTGCACATGTAGTGTGATTTTGTGGTTTATCAGGATGAGCACTATAGGAAAAGTATAAGGGCTAATTGAGGAATTTGAATGTGATATGAATGGTGCAGAATGGGACAGATGGGTCAAACTTTGAATGCTCAAGGACCACAAGTTATTATTTATTTATTTGGTGTCAGTTGCTTAGTTGCATGTGGTAATGGCTTAATCATTTCATTCGAGGAAAGTTATCAATTTTTCAGACACATAATTTTGGAATCATTAAAAATACATAAATATGTAGCATTTTGGTGCTTTTAATGTATGGAATAGAACTATTAGGTAGTCTGCTTTTCTATTGTGTTACTACCAGCAGTGAGTAGGAATGTCATAATTTAAAGAATTTATTATTTAAAAAATACAGTATCTATAAAATTCACAATTTTTCAGTTGAAATGATCAAGCCATTACTGTAAATACCACTATTTCAACTTTTTAAGATAGGGGCAGGGATAAATAGATGGAATACACAGTCATTATTTTATTTATTCATTTATTTATTCTCATCTAAGGATGGTTGCATACAGGCTCATCAGTTACACTTACATTGTATGTACGTCTGATAATACTCCTGCTTCTCCTGCAAGTTTTTCAAATTGGTTTACAGGAAATTCAGTTTTACATACATATATATGCAAGCCTGGCAAACCCATTTCTGTGTTTGAATTTCCTTGTTGTAGTAAGCAAGCAGTAATGTGATTGGTTATTCCAAACCGCGAGCAAATTTTTAGATCAGATTTTTGCCACAAGCCTTATTGGTGTACAGGATAAGGAGAGTATGTCTGTTCAGTCGTGTGTAATATATGTATAGTTAACTTTTGAGGATGCATTAATGATGATGGAATTTTATGCAAAATCTATAATGATATCCTAATCTAAAATATTAAAACTAATGCTCATGTCTAAAATTTGTGAAAGGTTTTCCTTAGAGCTTTCGGCCATTAGCCATAGCATTGACCTTGTTGATGCATGAGTTTGATGACATACCAGTAATTTTCCTT